TAAGTGAAAAGGAGATTTTGGTTTCAAAAATCTGATAACCTCTGAGTGGTTGACCTCATTAGTTGAACACTGAGTGATATCCCATGGGTGGCGCAAACGGGATGCATCTTCTAAGGTTTGGGAGTAAGAAGAAGAACTGAAGATATGAGAAAGATGGTTTTCGAAATGGGTGTCTGAGACATGGCATGGCAAACTTCGTGGTTTATCACGCCGACGAAGGGGTTTTTATTTGCAAACCCTAACCGAAGCATTCGACTCAAAAATCTGCCCCACAAGGCAGTGGGGCATGGATCCAACGCGGAGACGTGAGGGGGCTTTGGGATACCTGTCACTCTAGGCATTTAAATTTCGGTTCAGTGTTTTGTTCGCTGGTGCGTTGATTTTCAGTCTACTGTTCGGGATCGGCCCTTAGTCTCATGCACCCAACGAGACAAGCGGAACTTGGACCAGATGGTATCTTATTGACTGGGTTCTACCTAGTTTGGGCGGGCGGTAGTTGTCCAACGAAGTGCGAAGATTTCTCCCACTGTCGAGAGGAAGCCCCAGGTATCCCGTTCCCACCTCCATCTAGCGGTGACCTTTTGAACGTTAAATTGTCTCTCGTGTTTTTTTTGCTAGAGTGACCTCTCCCCGGGCGAGAGTAGGTAGATAACTGAAGATAGGAGGTACCCAAGCAGCTGGCCTGGTGAGACTGATCTTCTTCTGGCCTCTACCCATTGGCCTTTCAGGCATGGTTGGATTTGCGGCTGTGAGGATCCATCCTGTATAGCTCGCAGTTTCATGGAAGCACGCAAGCCGTCACACCACGTCGAGGTGCAGTCTCGTCGTGATCTTACCTTTAGGAAGTCAAAGTACGCAACAGCGGGTTGAATACCAAAACCCAATTTGTAAGGTATTGCAAAGCGCTTCCTCTGAATTCTGTTCTCTTCAATCCAAGTGATATATTGTTTTGATTGTTTGCAGTTGAAAGTGTGGAGATCAGTGGGGAAGAAGGGTTCCGTCATGGCAAACCTTTGAATGCTGAACAGCCCGAAGTTTGCATCGAGAACAAACCCAGGTTTTCCATTGACAATCACAGCGTTTTCCGGTTTGCAACTAGATTTAGCGTGTTCAGATGTCTGCCTGCAACAGTTCGACCAGTTATTGTGTGCACTGTGTTATCAACAGACCCACGACAATCCGTTGAACTGACAGAAAGTTTTGTCTTCAAAGCTATTTCTCGACAGATTTCCAGTCGGAATAGTCTGCTGGTTTCGTTGGGTTGTTACTTTAGTGGAATACGAACAAGCCAAATAAAAATGGTCACCCAAATCAGAGTCTAATGATTAGCAATCTCCATAAATTTTCGGACACATTACTTTTGTCCCACAGTCTTCTTACAAAAGCGACACTCACTTATAATTATTGCAGGTAATTGCCATTAGCTTAACAATAAATTCTTATATGTTCCTCATGGCAACAGTTCCCTACGACCGTCTGTTGAGCCGTAACTGGAATTAAGGTAGTGAGGATTAGACAAAATCAATGCATTCATTTAACCAACCTTGTTACTTCGTATCTTCAACAGCAATAACATCCATTGGTTCTTCAGAGAGTAAAGTTAGCCATTCCCTCAATCTTCGTGTATGTGATGCCATGTAAATACTCTGTCTACTCGTCCAACGTGGTAATTTGATAGTAGTACGAAATGTTGAACGCATGACATAAAGGTAGCCATAATTTAATTCTTGTGAAAGACTCAAACAAGACGTTTATAAGGAATTAAATTTTCTAAGTTTGGCGAAACATTGAGGGTATAACAGTTAAATATTTATAGCAGTATTTGTGAATAAGATATAAGATTTTTACCTTAAAAATCAAAACGCCACCATCTTAGGTGCTTTGTGGTCGAATATCGCTGCTTGGTGTTAGCTGAGTGTAATTATCAACGATTGTGGATATGACTTATTTACCGGACACTATGTCTTATACAAGGTTAAAGGAGTAGTACAGGATGAAGTTGTTACTAATATACTAGTCATACCTAACGTAACAATATACATACTGTCAATTGGTATAGTAGCTAGGGTAACCTTTGTAAATTCGAAAGTCAAGAGGTGTTCATTAATCAATATTACGCTGGTTGGGACATGTGTTACGCATGTCACCAGATAGGTTGCCACGGAGAACGATGT